ACCGAGGCCGTGTGCGACTTAGTTGTAGCGCGCACGCAACTGAGCGCAAATGGCAACACTTCACCGACCCATCGAATTGACGTCGTCCGTGTGCAAGCTGGGCAGAAAAGAGGTTTGCCTAATTTCAACACAGTGTAAGACAGATGACCAATCAGTGGATAGAAAAGACCTGTGATGCGTTGATCAATGGGGTATGGCCTAAACAGAAGCAAATTCATCCACAGCGTTTCTTTTCTAATTCAAATTCTTTTTTTTTCTTTTTCATTTTACTTCCTTTTGATTGAATATACAAAGATACAATTATCAGGAAGGGGGAAGCGGCCAATCAGAGGGCTGCCATACAACACACAAATGGGGAAAGTCAGGCGGTGGTGGTGGGATTCGAACACTCGTCCACCGGGGTGATAATTGGTGACGTTACCACCGGGCCACCACCGGTGGTTTCTCAAATAAAATGTGAAATGGTAAAGAGATGTCTGAGCAGTTCAGTAAAGCACTGTCTTGGCGATTGATTAAGATAGTGTAGTTGTGAACTTTTTCGCTCAGTCAAGTTTTAAATTCCACAACATTCGTCGAGCCCAAAAGCCTGTCTCCTGCACCCATTTTCTCTCTGAAGAATAATATCGTCTCATATTGCAATAATTTCAGTGGATCTTCTAGGACGATATATGCGGTATCCAATTAGCGGTTTGCTATCAGCTTATAATCCGTTGTTTTGTTATCATTATAAAGGCGAGTGTATCCAGAGATCGAAATGATCATAGTTGGAATGAAATAGGATAAGTTTCTCAAATCGGTAGCGTTTGTAATAGTCTAGTGTAAAATCTTCGTAATTGGTTAGAATTCTCCGTATAGATTCTGAACAACCATTGCTATTGTATTCCGCACAATGCATACACAATTTTGTCTCCCAATTGGTTACTGAACACCAGCATTTCAAATAAAAAAGCAACCAGGCGCAAACATCCCATCAAATATCTTTTATGATATCATTTTTGGATTAACAAAATTCGATTGTTCATGGTCAGTGGACTCGGTTGATGTTCTCGGATTTGGGTTTCATGCTCTGTTTCATGGCTCATTCCCCACCAGCCGAATGCACTTAATTTCGATGGAGATATCAGCGATGCCCTGATTAAAAAAAGCATCAGACAGCTGTTGCGTCGTGCTTGAAACTCGTTCACGTTGTGCACTTCTGGTGCTCCCTTCGAGATTGGAACCACGTACCCTGGAACAAAGTGCCCAAACCCAACTCGGCTAAGCCAAACGACCGACAGCCATTGCTTTGTGTTAGTGGCTTAGTGAATCGGGTAAAAATAGCTGTCCAGTGCCTCATGGATTCACAGTTTATACTTCTTTTGCTATGCACAGGAATGAATCGCAATCCAATCAGCTCCTCCATTTCTATTACATCACAATTATCATCGTATCATATTTGGATTGAACCATCTGCTTAGTGGTTCTAGTCCTGGCAGGGACACAAAAGGTGCACACCAAAGGGAGAACTAACAAACGAGACGAAACAGTTGTTCAGTGAAAGCTCTTTGTCAGTTATCACATTCAACTAGATTTACGCAACAGTATCTACTAAATCCCCGAAGGGGTGAATCCCACAGCCATGAGGACACAATGCTCATTTAATATAACCAGCAATGCAAGCCGTAAGATTAACTGTAACGAATTATTTCTGACTCCAGTGGAATAGGACTGGTAGTAGGCCGGGGGACAACAAAGTTACCTTCTACCGAAGCAGATCAGTGGGTTCAAAATCACCACAGATTTGAGGTGTTGTAGAAGAATGAAATGTGGGATTTAATTCGAAAGTAATCGGTGAAAAGTTTGTATGACGAGAACAGATGACCGGGTATACCATTGAAAGTACTAAATCCTAACGAATGCGGGGTAGGGAGTTATTATTAATTGTTTTATGCTTGAATTTCATCGTGTTCCACTGAGGTACAGATGTAATAGAGACTGAAGCAACAGGTCCGTGTACATTCCAAACCTTACGTGAATGAGTGATCGACAAGGCACAAGAGGAAAATACGAGACGGGGAATTTGTAGGTTTGTCGTGGTTCCCAACTACACCGTGCAATCTTCCTGCAATCAGAATGTTCTAAATCTCTTTATGAAACTTATCGGTAAACGCCGCCAATTATTTCCACTTTGTGTTGGCCTGAAAAACATTGTTTTTCTGCATTCGAAAGATCATTTAATCAATCGATTTTTCAACAAATAACGAGTTTGTTCTGTTAATTAGCACTGAGCATAACTTTGGTATTTTGGTTAACAAAAGAAAGTACGTTTCAGTAAAGAATAATGAGAGTAATAACATCGAGAATGCCTGGTGCCTCTTAACAAACGAATCCAAGCTTGCTGCTCAAAAACATTTTGTTGTCTCGACAAGACGTATGATAGATACGAGCACCTCTTGACTAGCCCCAACAAGGATACGGAGAGACAAACCGCTGGGGAAACCACATGGTGACGCACCAATCAGATTGCGTCCTTGAATGATCGGACGTCAGCTGTCTCTGATTCGCCTTAGTCGTCCAATCCGGAATGGATTTGCCTTTGGACGTCACTTTCGCGCGTGTTGGTGTGTGACGCGGGTCGATACGTGCCCTTATGGGTTTTGTGCGCTCCGTCCGAACACATTTGAATTGACTTAACTTATCCGTCACCACCATGTGGTATGAACTGCGATTAATTCTTTGTTTTTACATAACCGTGACGAGTGGAGACCTACAAAAATCCTTCCAAGCTTCGAACAGTTTCATCAGTAGTAGTCGGTAAACCGGATGGTATTTCCAGTTTTCATTTAACGATGGTCACTTTATCCCCATACACTATCATAATAACTACATTACTTACCTTTAATTGTTCACTTGCATAACGTTTATCGTCATAATTGGTGTACCTATTGTAACAACCTTTGATCATAGATAATGGGAATAGAACAGTTACCTTTCTCGACCGGACGGATAGCAGTTCAGTGCTTACTCAGAGTATTTTCAACTGATCATACCGACTTTTGGTTACTTCGGGCACTATGTTCGTTATCCAATTATTAACAGACGGTTACCATCTGAATATTTTTTTAAAGACAAGTTATCTCTTTCCCCTTTTTCTCTATCAGTTTACGTGTTACAAAGGCAGTGCACACGTGGCCCTTCGTTGGGAGTCGATCGACTACGCTTTGAACAATCCACGCGGGAAGATGTTGTACCAGGCGCTCGTGAAGCACGAACGGGAACTCGGCCGCTCAACAATCCCAGACGAAACATTTTTCTCCATATTGAATCACAATCCGGATGTGTTCCCTATCCCCGGTGCGTTTACCGGTGTCCACGAAGAACATACGGCTATTCCGTTGGCCAGAGCGAAAATCTGGTCCGACTTTAACTTGCCTTGTGGTAGTGGACACTGGCAACGTTCGATATGCATTTTTGGACTGGCCGACCTGCCGTACCTGTTCAAGCAACCGCATTTCTTCGCTAACAAATTTTTACCGAATGTCGAACCATGGGCCTACGACCTGTTGGAATTGTGGTACGCGACAAAAGTTCACAACGAGACCATTTACGGTCACTTGTCGGATTCATTTAATAGCTCTTATTACCATGCATCCCCGTACGCAACAGCACATTTGTAAATGCTGGGTTTTTTTGCCCACTATCTTGTGCTCAGTCATCAATAATCCAAGCGTCTGAGATCTTTACGCCAGCGAACACTGTGTTCTTGCTGGATGTGATCTGTTCACTCATGCACTCAGTCTCCGATTCATCAAGTGTACATTTTTATTCCATTTCGGAACGATAATTTCAGGTACATTCACTTTCAACTGTGATGCAGATGACGATGATGATGATGATGACGCCGGTGCAAATTGACTTCTTATCAGTACCGCATCTTGTATCCGTGTTTCGACTAACACGAAAGGGCAAATCGATTTTCGGTGCTTGGTGTGTGTGTGTGTATGAGTGTGTACTTGTACTTGTGACTTCCCACCGGTCCCTTTTCCACACTCAACGCACACTAGACAGATAGTGTTACCAAGTTACAAACACTTACTTCTATGCATGTCAGATTAACTTGTACTATCCCACAGGATGTGGAGTTCAGGGTTTTTTGTTGTCCATTATTATTTACTTACAATTATTGTTCATTTATTTTTATTTTCACACACGTCTGAATCCGGACTGTTCCCCAAACAACTCATGGTACAGCAATCTTTATAAAACAAACAAAACGTTCCATGATTTGCATGTGGGCTGAATACCGTCAGGTTACCCAGGCCAAGGCAGGGGAGTTTTCCTGAGGGTTTCACAACCGGAGCCTTCGGCTAGCCAAAGCCTGAACCGCAAGGCAGCGAAGCGGTGTGTGAAAGCCACAGTCCATTGTGGATCGGTGTCCAGTTCATCGGATCATTCGCTCTTTGGACGGGGTCAAACGTCTAAGGTGCTCAATATACCCCGATGCCCAATCGAGCCGGTGATCACTGCCACAACCAGGAAGATGAGTGTGATTTGTACGTCTCCTCTTGGTTGGTTTGGGATCAGGGATTTTGGCCAGTTCCCCTAGGTGAACTGCCAGGGGTCCATCAACACGCTCATAAACCCGGATATCGGTCTTTCGTCCTCTCACTTTGGTGGAGAAACACCTGTCCCACGGGAAGTCAGTGAATAAGGCTTCCTCAGCAGAGGCTATGAGATCATTTGGCGAGGTGCAAGGGACGGGTGACCAGCCACAACCCTAGTCACCCCATCCCGACCATACTGAGGCTTTTGGAGGCACAATTATTGGTTACTTCACGAACACTGACTTCATCTGGTTTCTCATGAATTGAATCTTGTACTGAACATCGAACATTATACGGTGATGGTGCATTGCATTTGGAGCTGCGGCCCTAACAACTGCATACAAATTGACCTCGATTCGCATTCATTTTGGCCCAGAAATGGCAGAAATGGTTGCGGCTTTGTTGAGCATGCACAACTATTTTGGTGCTGTGTACGTCAGCCACTGTTAGACATAGTTTGCTAAACACTCGGGTACGAAACAGAGAATATGATAGTTCATCTGTTCTTCCGAATGATAGATACAACCAACGCACGGCATTCGGTGTTCGTTGTTGTGGACATGTGTTTGGTACTTGCTCTTGTGAGCATCTCACCCCAAGTTCGATGTGAAGCTGGCTAGATGATCTATATTGGGTTTTCATTGGCCACAGATCTGTGCTTACTAAATTGGTGTTAAAGACCGAAACATGATCCCGGAACGAAAGTTTCTAAAACAATTTTTCTTCCGTGACGCAATGTCTGGGAGGCCGGTGACTTTTCAAAAAATGTGTATGTGGACTGAGACTAGAAATATCACCTATTCTGAGATCATCGAGTCTCTTTTCCTGACGTCTTTCGTTAACTAATTTTGCTACAAACTCGTCCTATCGCCCTCTCGTTAATATGGCTGATTGAAGTCACAAGGTTACGAGAAGAAGATATGAATATGATTCTGAGGAAACATTTCGCTGCCTGGCAGTAAACATGAATTCATTAATTTGCTTTTGTGGTTCGTAACTTCATTCTCCATGACTCAATTTACCGATTATCATGATTGATTTATGACTTCCGGGTTTTAATCCTTTCGCTGTTCCAATGAATGTCGGACTGGCGTTTCTCGCTCACTACAATTCATCATAGAATAGGGTATTTTTATTTTTTATTTGTAGAACTTTCGCAAGTTGAGAAAGGCTTACGTTTCAGTTAAAATTGTACAATTGTCGTCACACTGGAGAAAATATAAAAGTTTAGAGAAATACAATAGGGTGTCATGTAAAATATGTCTCCGAAAGTTTGATTTATTCACGTAAAGATTGAAGTAAGACTGAATTAGAATTCTCATTCACTTTTTATGATCTACAGGTGTCGAGTAAAATCGACACTCAATCTATGTCAAACTGTAAACTTTGTTGTACTATTAAATGCAAAGAAAATTGAAAAATATTAGCCGGTTTTGTTAAAAATATGACTATTTGCCCAAATCGTTTCACATAATGCATTAATTCGATTGAAATTACCTACCCTACTTCGAGAGAGACAGACACGAGATCGGTTCTGGACCCTAGTGTCTGTGAGTGGAAAGCCTTACCCGAGTCTCATTGTCTGATGACTCTCTGACTTACTCGTGGATCTTGTGATGTCCTGTCCTCTGATGCGCTTTGCAAATTAATCATATGCCTCACTTACACTTTGCTACATCATCCCTGCCTGACCTTGCCCCGGGACTGGTTATACGCTGTCCAATCCGGTGTGTGTTTATTGAGGTATGACCTGCCTGATTCGAAACAGAACATATGCACTCCGGGGTAGTGTCTGAACTTGAAACCTGGGAAGCACTTTATAGCTATTTCGACCTGGGTAGTGCGCGAATCCATCGACCCAACTGGGGATCGAATTGGGGGACCTCACAGGCAGAGCACAAGCATCCCACCCAGTCGGCCACCGGACAACAGCTGATCAGATCGTTTTTCATTTTCGTTCGATCTATTCGCACCCAATCAAGTCGAAGCAGCTCTGCAGTGCTTCCTAGCTTTTCAATTCATGATTTATCTGCTATGTACACGACGAATTCTCCCTATGGAATCATTTGTATCTGGGTTTGAAGCACCATCAAAGTATTCAGGGAGTGAATTTGAATTTATAAATAGGGGCTGGGTCTGTATATACCAGGGTAGCCATCATTTCAAACAAATTGGATGGAGTATCTGAGGCACGATATTAGCTAACGATGAGTACAACCTGGGCTTTAAAGTTTAGTAAACATTTTTCGCGGTGAAATCCTGAATAAATATCGGTAACAAAAACTAAATTATACTGCTGTTCATGAAAATTGGCTGTTTTCGTCAGTTTGGTTGTAATTTGTCCATCCTGCTGTTTGTGGCTGGTGAATGGTTGCATTTCTGGTACCTTTTTGAAGTGATTTACCACCTGAAACGTGACAGAATGTCGATCAAAATAGCAGCATAGTTCACGAAACGGAGAACTTCATCAAAGTGCCTAAATTGATTACAAAATAGGGAGGAAATTTATCAGTGATATTGTTAACTTCTGCAAAATTAATCATGGATGTTGTATTTGTCTGGGCTGTCCCGAAATATTTACCTATACATTCTTAATTTCTGAATGCTCTCAAACTTTGCCCGTGTCCGAAATCAATCAATCGGACAAGTCAGTGGCAAAAAGGAGCATGAAACTAACAGCGCATCTAACACGAAAGAGAACTGATATCTTGTGGTGGTCGGGGGGGGGGGGGGGAGGCACGTCGAATAGACTACAACTGCTACGAGTAGTACTGTGCGCGCCATGGGGTCACCGTGATACGGTTGAAGAGTTAGTAACAGCAGTATTGCAAACATTGTGAAATGGTGATCGGTTTCGTGCCCGGTTGATGAATTACAGGTTGCATCAAACGCGGTTAATTTTTCAATCACGTGGCATAGCTGGTCATAGGGGAATAGAGGATGTGGGGTGGGGGGGAGGAGTAACAGGAAAAAAGGGAGGTCGAATATGCGATAACTGTAATCAGTGGTTAGGAAAAAAGTTGCGATATTTAAAGATGTGTAAATTGTTGGAAAACGATACAAGTGAATAAATAATTACTTATATATTTTAATTTTATAGAATGATTTCAGTTCCTTATATTTAATATATAGTGAAACAATATTTAGGTAGGTGGAAGGGGTCAATCAAAGGCTGCCATAGTATAAACTCAGAATGGACAACATCAGGTGTTGTTGAGGGTAGTAGTAAGATTATAATACGTCTTCCGGGAATATGAGTTGATGAATGTTACAGCTTCACGATGAGCACAGTTTACAGGCTCACAAATTTTCTTCTGAAATGTGCAGGGATGATGTAAGAGAAATTTCGGTTTGCTACGATCGTGCCAAGAAGTGCAGTTCGTACCGGTACTTATTTTGTGCAGAATTCTTTTTGACCAATGGTAATTCTCACGCATTTTATTCTCAACTACCGAAGGGAATGCGTTCGGGAAAACGAGAATTTCAATCGTCTATCTCCCCGGGGGACTTCAACATTGAAAACCAGCTTGGGATTAGGCCAGAGTTCTCGTGCACCGGATCGGACAGCTTCCGTGCGAGGGGATTCTTATACGAGGTAGGAGGTGGGGAGAAGTTGCTTGTTATCATTAGAGAACAACAACAACAACAACATTCTTTCACATAAACTCATTGCAATGCTTCAGTGCGTCCGAAAACTGTCCCTCTTCAATGAGAACGAAGATATCGTTCTTCCGTCACAGGGAATAATAATGAAGAAAGGGGAAAAATTGGGGTGTTTTATCCAAAACACTTTACAGGTGCTTATCAAACTCGTACATGTGGCACTTTGTCTTACATTGCCACAGTTGTTCCTCCCAATGCTTCATTTTTCCAGCCTCATTCATGCGATCGAATATTATAGTGTCCCACATCAGACGCAATATATCTGTTATAATATCCGCGTTTGTTTTTAACTCTCATTGGTTATATGCCCTTAAAATGTATGATTTGTCGATTTTGACGACGGTTTCTGGTGCATCAATTGTAAAATAATAGACCCGGTAAAAAAGCAACTAGAATTTATTTATTTCAAT